ATTCTAATACAGATTTTACGGTAGTTGACTTCTTTGTTCTTCAGTTCATATTTTAGACCTGATGTTACAATGGTTAATGTGTCTTCTCAGTGTCGGAGATTTCAAATTTGACTCCCTTGGTCTGCTGTCCACACAGCTGTGAAAAAAATGGTGCACACTGCCTGCTTGCCAGGTGCTCCCATTCAGGATTTAGAATTTGGTCCAGTCAGGAGGGGGATGTAAATCTGACGCTTCAGTTTCTGTTCTCGTTAAACGTGAAAATTCACAGCATCCTTGTCACAGTGAGTAGGGGATTACCGCGTGATGTCTGGAACTTGCCCTTATTTGGAGATTCAGTCTCATCAGTTATCCTCAAAATTAATTTTAAAAATATAAAAAAATACTAGTGTTATTTTACTTTAACCTGAGAACATTCATAGTATTTTATTAGTGTGTTGGTAGTACTCTGGCTCATTTCAGACACTTAAAAACAAAAACACCTCAAAACAAGAATTGATTTGACATTTTTTACAAAAATATGAATCAACAAAAATGCAGCTCATGTCCCTTTATGTCGGTGTTTATATTCGGTATGTTTTAGTTTTGTGTAACTTCACCACCCTTTTTTGCGATTGCAGAACCAACTGTGAAGAAAAAGAAGAAAAATGTGCAATTCAACGGTGTTACAGTATTTTATTTTCGAAGGTCTCAAGGCTTCACGTGTGTACCCAGTCAAGGCGGCTCCACCCTTGGTAAGTTTCTATCAAAGTCTGACTTTTAGCATAAGTACTTCAAAATGTACCTGGCTTTTGCTTTTATTTTAAATTTTGTTGAATTCATTGGAGTTGAGGTTCTGAGTACTTTAGGAAAAATATTTTGTTTTGCAATCTGATACAATTTTTTCTCTGAGATTGCTTGCATGATTGTCAAGCGCAGTACAATGTTCTACATAATGTATTTTGGTTACACATTACATACATTTTAGTGATTCAACAAAATATGCTCAGCCAGTTACCAGAAATGACTGATCGCATCACAGTACTATTTAGCCAAAAGTACACACACACTCCTGGATCACTGCGAGTGATAGACTTTGGCATTAACTACAGAATAGCGACAATGCCTAATTGTCGATGATTATTCATTTTCATAATTTGATGGTTTAATGGCGTTCATGGGAACAACATTTTGTAAAAGTTTTGACAACAAATATTTGCAACAATAATTGCAATTTTCACTGAGTGTCAACAACTCTCTTCGTTTACTGAATACTACAGAGCTTTATCTTGCCAGAGGTGTCAAAGGTCATTGCCTTGGTGCAATTTCATATTTGTTTTATAAACTTGGCTTTAAAAAATGGGTGAATCACAACTCCAAAGTATATATTTGTTACTATGGTTCCCAGGATTGAAGCGTCTCGCGGAAAGTCACAAAATGTATTTTTGTTATGCCAAGCCAACATATGTCAACATTCACTTATATTGAAATTACATTATTGTACTATAACTATGAAAATGAAAAAAAGTGAGATGCTTTCATTTCGATTATTTAATGTACAGTAGTAATTTGTTCTTCCCACAACCAGTGATGTGACAAACAACACCTCGTTAATCTAAGTTGTGTCCCACTTTACAGGTATGGCCAATAGTCATGACAATATCTTCCACTTCAGTCTAAATGAATTTGCTATGGAACAGGAGCGTGTACACAAGGAGATGCTGAAAGATCAAATTAGACAACGAAGACGACAACAAGCTTTAAAATTCCGTAATGGGGAAACATCACTTGATGAGGAGGAGGAAGACGATGACGAAGACAGCAATACAGAGGAAGAGATTGATAAACTTAATATTAATGACTATTACTTCCTACAACCTGTGCCAACCAAAAAGCGGAGAATTCTCCTCCGATCAGCCGGTGTGAAGAAAATAGACAGTACTGAAAAACGAGACTGTAAGCTCATACGTATATCTCGTGAGGTTTGTGGGTGTGATTGTAAGGTGTACTGTGATCCCGAAACGTGTGCGTGTAGTCTTGCTAATATCAAGTGTCAAGTGGACCGTTTATCGTTTCCTTGCGGCTGCAGTAAAGATGGTTGCGGTAATCTGCAAGGACGAATTGAGTTCAACCCAGTGCGGGTTCGGACGCACTTTATCCATACGCTAATGAGGCTTGATATGGAGAGCAATCAGAATGATCTGACGTCAGTCGGTGACAATGCAGACAACAGAATATTGTCGTCTGATAACTATATGAACTCCATTGGCTCGCATGATGTGCAAAATGGAAATTCAGAAGTCGGTATTTATCACAATCAGAATTCCATATATGGTGGTGATAACAGCCAGGTGTACACCCACCAATACCATGCCGAAGATACCTCTTACCGAATTGCAGACGGTCCAATGTCGTATCACGGCCAGGATAATGTACAGGTGGAGATCACATCGCAGCAGAATGACGCACTTCCAC